GATAGGAAGTTTGCAGGAGTCGTGCTAGTGTTGTGACCGGTGGTCGTGTTTGTGAAGGCAATGCTAGTTTTGGGTGATTGCGGTGACGATAATGATGAAGACGACGGTGGATTGAGTTGAGATGTAGACTTATCACCCTGCCATTACAATACGCGCGCTCCGTGGAGTTATCGGTGGCTGCATTCACACGCGAGCCGGGGTGCACGTGCCGCTTGTCTGCGTGACTCACGCCGACATAAGCTCTCTGCAACAACTCACGCCTCCCACATTCCGTGCTCAGCTCTAATCTTCCGATATAATTCACACGGCCCCTCAACTCACGGAGGCTACGATGGCGGAGATGGCTATGATTCATATTTCCCGGAAACACGAAAACGTCGAGCAACACACAACATGCTCTGCTAGGCACTAAGTGGCACCTGCCAGTGAACCCCAGTGGGTCAGCCTATATTTTTTTTATGACCCTGGCCACAGGAATGTGGGATTTCTCGCTACCTGGTTCAGAGGTTTCCTTTTTGCTCACTCGAGCCGGCAGTTTGACCTTATGAAACACAAGTTATTATTCGTATAATACAAACGTGGCCAACATCAGTGGCGAGTTCAATATAGCCGGACTGGTCTTGCGCCCGCCACGCTCACCTTCACCAAACTCCACGTTCCTAGGCCAGTGATCAGTCCCTCTCCAAAACACATTCCCACAAAATGTACGCATTAACCCCTCCCCCAACAGAGGGATAGGCCGCATCCCAAGAGCACGAACCAATGCCATTAGCTAAAAGGTACTGCATATAAAACAAGGTACGAAAAATTCTTTGGAAATGACAAAATCACCGTGAATGATTTCAACCTCATCAGATCTTGGTTAGTATTTGGAAGGGAGACTGCCTGGGAATAATTTGAGTCATGCTGCAAGGTGGCAAGGTTATGGCAGTACACCAATGAACCCATCCACACGGAGCTTTGAATGCTACCCTCTGGTATCTGTGGGTTTTGCTGGGTACTCCGATTTCCTCCCACATGACACCAAATATTAATTCGTGGAGCTGGTCAAAAAACCACAAAGTAGCCGGACCCTAATAGAGGCTTTTTGAGTTAGATTGCGATTATATAAATGGGTCGTTAAATCCGCCACCACCCGACATAGCCAATTAGTAAAGATTTGTCAAGGAAACAAAACATGCCAATTCGTTATTAGTACAGCACACCAGTGTGTTGGAGAGCAAACCCACAACATTTACAATTACTCCAATTGTACTCGAATTGTAAATACTACGGGTTTACTCTCCAACACACAGATGTGCTGTACGAGTCAAGAATTGCCATGTTTTGTTAACATGTGGTGGCGAGTTTAACAACATTGATATTTACGTGATCTAACCCAAAAAAACCTCGATTATGGATATAGGTCGTGATAGCCTACGTGTTAATCTAGCCGGACCCTCCTGAACAAATCCTTGACACTCAGCTGACGTGTTCCTGGGTGAATGAAGGACATTACTTTTACAATGACTATTACACGGGGCAACATTCGACTTCTGTATTGAGATCGGTTTTTGTAAACTGGGAAAATTACTCAGAACAAAAAAATACAATAAGCCACGCAAGGTGGTGTTAAGTGAAACAGAAGCATCATTCATTTGAGTTTTTGATTCTCAGGCGGTTGAGTACATTGCACATCATGTGGCGAGGGACCAGTCTCATTACTCAGACGCAACACGGCATCCGCTGCTGATATCGCATCATCAAACTGTGCAGCATCGCCAGGTGACAATGCTGGTGGTGCTGATGATGCTGACAATGACTGATCATAAAGATTGATGATGGTGGTTGTGGTGATGACATATATGTTGAACTTCTTTCGTACCGTAAGTAACCCAACCGTGCTAATAGGAGGTGCGGGTTGTGTTTGTGCGGGTGATAACAGTGGTTGTAATGGTGATGGTTGGTTGTAGTGGTGATTTTGGAGGTGACAGTGATGACAATTTTGGCGGTGGTGGTAGCAATGGTGGCAGTGGTTGCCGATGTGGCGATTGTGATGGTTGTGGTGGCGATGGTGAAAGTAGTTTGTTGGTTCAGGTGGTGGTTTGGTGGTAGTGGTTATGATGTGGTATTGAAAGTGATCATAATAATTAAAGTAGTGACTGTGAATGTGGAGATGATAGCCATTGGTTGAGACACTCCATCCCATTGTTTATGATGACTGTTTAAATTCACTAGCTTATAAGACCAGTGTTCTACTGAGTCAAATAAAATCGTAAATCAGCATACAGTACTCTATACAAACGACTGGCTAAAGAGGTACAATTCCAGTTAATTATTTAGCTAGAAAATGCCAAGCAATGGAAAATGAAACCGAAGCCAAGCCTGTGACTGATGTCGCTGATTAAAATGTGAACAGTTTTTTTCTGTTTGGTTGAGGTAAAAAAATATATTAAAACCAACTTTCTGGGTTCATAATGGTCAAGTCTGGGGCAATGAGCCACCCATGGAATGCCCTGTGGGGATGAGAGAGCGAGCGACAGAGCTTGAACCCAGGTCGTGAATGGATGTGATGGCTCAGTGTCTCTGATACACAGCCATTGTAAACCTCTTGCCGATGACCACATCACATGGAATGCGTCAGATCTCGTCGGATATCAGAAGCTAAGCAGGATTTTGGGCCTGGATAGTGTTCGGATGAGCGACCGCCACCGTGCACAATCTTGTCGGTTGCCGAGCGAGCAGTGGTGGGGCTATGCAAGTGGCCCATGCTCCAGCACTGTGGTGGTGGCTGCAGCGAGGGTTGGTCGATCACCGCAATGATGTTGCGAAGCTCCCTTCCCCCGTGGGCGTCGAAATACCATACCCTGGCTCACCAGGAAAGGGAAGTACTGCAAGTAGACTAATCGTTAACCGTTTCCTTCTGTATGGGGATAGAGTGTTGCCCCCTCGGCTAAAAACCTCTTAAAATAAAATCCCAATGCAGGACCCTGCCGTAGACGAGCCCCAAGACTCGATGTATCTCTTCTACTCTTCACAATCTCCTCCTGCCTCTGTCCAGCACTCATCGCATCTCTTCCTGTCGTCCCATTCCCCACCTTAATCCTTTCCTCTTCACTCCCGTCAGCCTCCACTGCATCCTTAACGTCGCCCATCTGTCATCCGACGTCATCGCTCGATATCCTTCCCATACATACCCATTTAAGTCGGTTTACTTTGTAAATCATAGTACATCTGGTTGCCATAGTTTCAATTCCCAAATCTCTCGTTTCTAATTTCGTCATCTACTTTTGCCATATGTGCCACCCACTGCCAAAATCTACGAGTTTCTTTCCAAAACTGCTCCTGTAAAATGTAAGTGCTCAGATTTGTGACACAGTTGGGCAAAGTGTGGGTAACTGCACGCCTATCATGAGCAAAAGGGAGGCTGCTGGTGGTGATGATGGTCTATAACTATTACTTTGGCAATGAGGCTCTGATGATGATGCTGACAGTGATGTCCAAAATGCTGCTTCTGATGATGCTCATAATATTGTGATGGAACAGGTGATGATGTTTATAATGGTGGTGGTGATGCTTTCGATCATTGTAATAATGTTGAGTATTGTTAAAATTATGGCGACATTATGATGGTGGTGCAATCATATTAATGTCGAGGATGATTATCTTGATTATGTTAATGCAGTTGCTGCTAATGCTCATATTGATGATGGTGGAATTTGTTTTATGCTGTTTATAATCATCCCTTCGTGATGGCAACTATTCCGCAGCTGCTGCTAACAAAGCTGATTATTGTTATAATGCAGTTAATGATGGCAATGATTATGGGCTTTACCCAGAAGGTAATGTTGATATATTTCAAGAATTAATGCAATGTTGTTGGTAATGATGGTGATAGTCAGGATGGAGATAATGTTGAAGTTTATAATGCGACTACGAATGATGATTATGCAACTGATGATGCTGAATCGTGATGATGGAGCTGATGTTGCTAACGAAGATGATGCTAAAGATGTTTATTGTAACAGCATTATTGATGATGCTGTTTATACTGCTGATGGTTTCAGTCACGATGATGTTGAACCTAGAAGATGAACAACAACTTGATACTGCGAGTGATATTCTGGTAACAATGATGATGACGAATGTTGCCTGATAATTACAATTCTGGCGACGCTGTGGATTACGGTTTAGTGATCATGATTGTAATTTCAATAATAGCAATGCATTGCAATTATTACTGTGGTTATCATGTCGCTGCTGCTAATGGCGATGGAGATTATGATGACGATGCCAATTTACGCTACTAATGATACTGCTGATAGCAAAGCTACACTGATTACAGTACGCCACTGATGACTGTCCTGATGATGATGCCTGTCAACCCATACGGTTTATCTTATTCTTGTGCAGGGAAATTGAGTTTTCAGGTGCATACGACGTACACAGCCATTTCGATACGGGCACAAAAAATTGTTGCGTCTATTTGTGTTTCTCCCGTGTGATGGGACTTTTCAGGATTAAGGTTGAGATTTTAATGGCACGGGGTAACCAATACGGTCTGTAATAAGATAGGCGCTGATAAGGGATTGACAGGTATGATGATGCTACCGACTATAGTACCGACGTTGCTGCTTCTGGTTTTATATTTCTGATCATGCCGCCGATTATAATAATTCTGAATTGATTGATGCTCATGATGACGCATGTGGCGAAATAAGTTCAACATTAGATGACGCTCGCTGGCAATGAAGCTCTGATGATGCTTGTGGAACTGCTGCTGACCTGATGATTTGGTGGTGACTATGCTGCTTACCACCACGATACCACCACCACCACCGGCATTTACAAGCAACCCCGATCACGCCGGTGATGTTTAAGCCACGGCACCGCTGGCACCGCATGATATTAATAGCCTCACCTGCCTCCAGCGAACCTGTGGACCAGTCACGACAGACACACGCGCCAGCCATGGGAGCACACGAACCGAACGGCGATACAACGACAACGACAAAACTCACCTCACTGTCCGAGTGAACGTCCATCTTAGGCCAATGATCTGAGACGCACGCCAAAGGCATGGTGTTACGGCCGCATCAAGCCACGACGAAACAATCGACGACAACTACGAAGAAGAGAGCGCAGCGACCACCGCCAGGACGACGAAGACGACCAACGCGGCTCGACCGAGCGCAGTGGCAGGCGACGGGCGCGGCACCGTCGCCCTAACCCCGCGGCGACTCCGAGCGCCACCGACTACACCGAGGGGCGAGCGAGCCGCGATGAGGCGAGCCGCGATTTCTCCGCTCTCGCTCGTTCTCTCCCCACTCGTCTTCTCCAACTAACAGGCGCCAGTCACCGCGGTACGCGCCGTCCTACAGGCGGCTCTAAGGAGGGTTTTTTCTCTCTCTCTCTACCACAGCAGCAACCTCACCACCATCACCGCCACCACGCCGCTTTGCCCGCCATCTTACTAAGGGGGGCGGTAACTGAGTGATCGTAGGGGGGGTTCAAATGTGCGTGACGTCTTTGATGACGTCACGCGCTTGTGTGCGCAAATCCCATTGGCTTTGGTCGCTTCAAGATGGCGGTTTTGGCTTCCGGGTGTGTCTCGCCGCCCCCCCCCCCTTTTCTCTCGCTGGTCTCGCGCGCACGCGAACTGTGCCGCCATCTTGGTACGGGGGTATTACGTCACAAGCGTCACGCCGTGTTGACGTCACTTTGACGTCACATTGTTTAACCCCCCCCCCCCCCCGGTCACATTGACAAAGCGAATCGCGTGCTACGAATGTGTAATTATTTAATATTTTGATGCAAACCTGTCAACCCTTTACCAGTGCCCTACCCTATTACATGTCAATTCAGACCCTTATACATCTCAACGTTCATCCTACATTCCCCCATCACAAGGGAGAAACAAGCAGATGAACAACTCACGTTTTGTGTGCCGTTGTTGAGACGGCTGTAGGCCGTGTGGACTCAATTTCCCTGTGCAAGATTACGGGTACACCCTATGGGTTGGCAGGTATATTAATGTAAAACAAGAAGCAAATTACGTACTTACTTTTATTCTTATCGGGCCCCAGTGTGTAACAAAGGCCATTGCCCTAAACGTCCCAAATCATTCTTATAAATATAAATTTTAAATAAATAAAATGAAACGTCGTGATTTATTTTAATTTAATTTATTAACATTTTGTTGTATTTCTACATACGTGATTTTACCGAAAATAACTCACTTCACTCATTGTTTTTTTTCGGTAAAATCACGTATGTAGAATACAAGAAAATTTTAATAAATTAAAATAAATAACGACGTTTAATTGTATTTATTTAAAATGTATTTTATTTCTACATACGTGACTTTACCGAAAACACCAATGAGTATTATTTCTGCAGTAACGAAAGCTTTAATCCTAGATTATATATTTCTCTATTTTCAGACCACAGCAGCGTTAATAATAACGAATGTGTTGAAATGTCCATTCATCAATGGGGGGCGGGGCGGTGGCCAGGAGATGTTAACGACCTCGCCTGGTACACAGGAGGTCGTGGGTTCGATCTCGACCCTGAAATCTGCTGTATATTTGGAGTGTGCGTATCTCTCTCTCTCATTATAATCAAGGTGGCGAGATGTTAACGACCTCGCCTGGTACACAGGAGGTCGTGGGTTCGATCCCGACCCTGAAACCTGCTGTATATTTGGAGTGTGCGTATCTCTCTCTCTCATTATAATCAAGGTGGCGAGATGTTAACGACCTCGCCTGGTACACAGAGGGTCGTGGGTTCGATCCCGACCCTGAAACCTGCTGTATATTTGGAGTGTGCGTATCTCTCTCTCTCATTATAATCAAGGTGGCGAGATGTTAACGACCTCGCCTGGTACACAGGAGGTCGTGGGTTCGATCCCGACCCTGAAACCTGCTGTATATTTGGAGTGTGCGTATCTCTCTCTCTCATTATAATCAAGGTGGCGAGATGTTAACGACCTCGCCTGGTACACAAGAGGTCGTGGGTTCGATCCCGACCCTGAAACCTGCTGTATATTTGGAGTGTGCGTATCTCTCTCTCATTATAATCAAGGTGGCGAGATGTTAACGACCTCGCCTGGTACACAGGAGGTCGTGGGTTCGATCCCGACCCTGATGACACCCGCTGCTGCTGTATATTTGGAGTCTGCGTGTCTCTCTCCCCGTGGTGGCGTAGATTTTTCTCCGGGTCCTCCGGGTTTTCCCTCCACATTTAGAACCAACAACATCACGCGTTTAGAGTAGTTGGCTGTGATACATTTACAAGCGATAAGCCACTTTAGTTGCGCTGTCAGGTCGCTTCTGAAAAAACAGAGCTATGTAGCTCAGTGAATAAATAATGCTGGGTGTAATTGAAGGGTCACGCCTGATGGGTCTGTGACGTCAGAGCTCCGTATAAGGGCACGCATGCATCGCGCTGACTCAGCAGCAGCAGCCCCAGCAGCAGAGGCAGCAGCAGCAGCAGCCCCAGCAGCAGAGGCAGCAGCAGCAGCCCCAGCAGCAGAAGCAGCAGCAGCAGCAGAGGCAGCAGCAGCAGCAGCCCCAGCAGCAGAAGCAGCAGCAGCAGCAGAGGCAGCAGCAGCAGCAGCCCCAGCAGCAGAAGCAGCAGCAGCAGCGGCAGCAGCAGCAGCAGCAGAGGCAGCAGCAGCAGCAGCCCCAGCAGCAGAAGCAGCAGCAGCAGCAGAGGCAGCAGCAGAAGCAGCAGCAGCAGAGGCAGCAGCAGCTGCAACAACAAAAGCAGCTGGGCTGCTGCAGCCCCAGCAGCAGCAGCGGCAGCAGAAGCAGCAGCAGTAGCAGCAGCAGCAGTAGCACCCCCAGCAGCAGTAGCAGCAGCAGCAGTAGCTGCAACAACAACAGCAGCTGGGCTGCTGCAGCCCCAGCTGCTGCTGCTGCCTCCTTCAGCCCGCGCTCTCCAGGAGGCAGCGCTGCGTTCGCTTCGTGCAGCGAGCGACACGGGGGGGGGGGGACACAACGAGGCATACATAGTGGCTGTGTTGGGTGGTGGCGCGCTTAACGAAACTTTATATATTTACGCGATCTAACCCCACTAAAAAAGCAACCTGTATTATGGATGATATTGGTCGCGACAGCCCTACCACGTAAAACAACAACAACAACACAATGCGAGCATCGAGTGGCTGCTGGCTGGGGCGGGCGAGCTCCTCTCGAGCCCAGCAACAACTCTCTTGTTGTTGTTGTTGTTCTTGTTGTTGTTCTTCTTCTTGTTGTTGTTGTTGTTCGTGGTGGCTACTGCGGACCGTCGCCACCCACACGGGCTGGGTGACTGGCGGAACGTGATTTCCCGTGTCACAAGTAAGCATTGCGTTTGAGTTGAAAGAGCCGACGAAGTTCGGAAGACGTTGAACGGCAATAATAATAATAATGCTCATAACGATAGAAGAGGTAGGGAGTAACAAATACTGGACACTGGCGCAGTTCATTTATTGCAACTCTTTCGCATGCCACAGAGTTGCATGAAACCCTAAGTTTGATTATTTGGTTGTTGCATGCAACCGATACATGTTTGCAAACAAGTCGTACGAAGCCAAAATGCAAGCTTGCGTGCAACCGATCGAAGTTGCATGCCAAGTAGCATGCAACCAGGTTGACCGATGCAATTGCATGCAACGTGGTTTCATGCGAGTGATCGCTCAGCTGTGGACCCACCCGGCAGTACGTACAGCTTCAGCACCAGAGCCATGCGGACTGCACGTGTGTGGTGTGTAAGGCTGCAATTACCACCAATAGCCACGAGATGGCACACATTCACCGTGAGTGGTGCAAATCTGCATCTTTGAATGCCCTTTTCTTCATTTCTTCCAACGAGCAGCCCCGCACCTAACTTTGGACGTGACCGCCCGTCCCTCCCTCCCTCCAGCCAGCAGAACTCGTTTTCTATGATAGTATGATATGATCAAATTCCACCTGTGCTATCGGTATCATTTCCCGAGACAATAATGTCTCCGCAGCAAGCCATCGAACAACCCCGCTTGTAACGTAACTAACTTAACCATTTTTATTTTAGCAGGTAAGGCGCACAGAGCTATGTGACTCTTTTTCAGAAGCGACCTGGCCGAAAATGATTGCTCAACGAAGTGGCTTATCACATCCACGTGTTTCAGCAGCCCAATGCTCTACACGCATACTTCTAAAGAATGTTCCAATTAGCCTCTAACATTATCAGCACTGGTGCCCACGGATATCATATGCCCTGCAAAAGGCGTTAATTTCCAAATTAAGAGGTACCCCCCGATAAAATATTCTTGCTTTTTTGTTCAGTCATTGGCGATTGCACTGAGACCGTCAACTTGCATCCCGGGTTCACCACTGGCGGATTGAGACCTGGATTCTAACCCAGGCTCTCAGAGGTGCCAGCTCAATGCTATGACCACGAAGCTACGCGGCCACTTACAAATTGAAATAGCGATCTTTGCAATGAATTGTGCAATATTACCAATGGTCTCTTAAATTATGTCAACCGTTTTTAACAAGGAATACGTGTAATAGACCTACGTTTGTGGTTCTGCAACAGAGCTGCGTTCACATTCAATGCTGACTCATAAATTACAACTAGACTTGTTAGCATGTGCAGAGCTGTCGGCTCAAATCGAGCCATGAGGCAGGCAGGCTTATTATTAAGGAATCCGATTCAAGAGGTGCAGTGGCATCAACAACCCACTAGGGGGCACTCTTGCTAAGCGGTCCCACTGAGCAGAGCCAGAGGTCACGTCAGAGTCTCTCGCACTGCGAACAAACTCGCAGCTCGACAGTCCTGTGCCAGGCCACGTCTCTGTGCGACCATGCTGGGGGAGCAGGCCTCTCCTCGTGTGTATGTTGAACTTCTTTCGCACCATACGGAGCCAACCAGGCTGTGGAATTTACTTCCCTAGCGGACAGTCGCTCCGCTGAATCTCCCCCTCGCTTTATTCAAATCGCGCCTTGAGACGCAACTGATTTTTAAAGGGATTTTTATATGTATTAAAGCCTTTGTCTTGGGGGTTGTTGTCTGATTGGTATGAGGCTAGCTGTGTCTGTGTGTTTTGTACTGCGCCTTGTGACCTCCGGGTGAAAGGCGCTTTAGAGGTGTAAATAATATATTATCAGTGTAGTGGTGGGAATTCCACATTCCCATAGTGGAGGCATGTGTCTCTAATATGACCAACAATTCTTACTTGTTTTAACTACACCAGAGAGATGATGGGCTGGGTTGACTTTGCGATTGGATTATTTGCCACTCGAGGTAATACTGTGGGAGTTAGGATTATGAAACGTGATCCCATTGAATTTGAGACTGAAAAATAAATTCCCAAGAGAATTTGACAACTGATAGTTTGGGATCGCTGGTCAAGTGAGATGAATCAGTGGGATTGAAGGCCAGGACACATT